AGATATATATAAGGGGCACAGGTTTTGCCACCACAGCTACACCGTGAGGCAGATTGCAGATTGTTTTCACATTTTAAGTTACCTGGCATGCTCTGGAATATGCTGAGAATAAAATGGCCAGGGCATAAGTAAGAAAAATTAAAAGGTGGATGTTTAGACAGAAGTGCACTTTAGAGAAAAAAGCAAGTTCTTGTGGACTTCTGATTTTAAACTTGTCCGAAGAACACACCCTTGCTTCTTTAGACAGTGGAAGTGATAGAGACAGAAAAAAATAACAACAGTGTGTCATTGTTGGGTAGGTTAAGGGACTAAATGACGAAGGAGATGAGTTGGTCTAACCTTTCAGCTGTATTCTTCTGTTAGCGAGAGGAGGAGTGTCTGCAGGACTAAGGTGGAGGAGGAAGCCTGACATGAAATTAACAAAATCCAGCGTCCCCCGCCCAGCCTAACGGTCGGCCCCCAAGCCACTTCAGGACAGTGGGGGGCACGGCTCTGGCAAGTCGTCCTCCCTACAGGACAGCCTACATTTCGTAGCTTCATCTAAGACCAATTTCTTTCGGAAAAACAGCATTATGGAACATGGAATGCTATATGCCTGGGTCATATCTGAATAATTCAACTTGTAGTTTGCAGAGGGGCTTTGCCCAAATTTCAAAAATAAAGCAGAAGTTAAATAGAGCATGGTAGAAATTATCCCTTCATCTAGTGAGTCACACTGAGCCAGAAACTTGCAGTTAGATCCTTGAATTGACAACTTTTCTCTTCTGCTACCTGCTGATTTCATGCCAGGGCCGCCCTCTGCTCAAACTCTTCCCAGAGCCACAGAGCAGAGGGGCCTGGTTGATAAAGTCCAAAAATGATGAGCCTCCCGGGACACAGAGGAGAATGGAGAAAAGTAAAGAGGATTAGTGGGGAGGTGATGGTCAAGGGGTGTAAAGTTTTGGTTATGCAAGATGAATAAATTCTGGAGATTTAATGTATAACAATGCACTACAGTTAACAAAACTATAGCATATACCATCTTAAGTGTTCTCACCACACACACACACACAAAATGATAATTGCATGAGATGCTGAGTATGTTAATTAGCTTGATTGTGATGATTTCACAATATATGCATATATCAAATGTACACCTTAAAGATATCCAACTTTAACTGTCAATTATGCCTCTATAAATTTGGAAAATACAATGTTAAATAAAAAAGAAAGCTATAGAGTGATTTTAAAAAGTATAAATAGGGGGCAGAAAAGAATCACAACTTCTTGGGATTTGGGGGTCTACTAAGGTTTCTTTTTATCCCAGTCAGGTTGATGCATTCAAGGCAGGGTCTTCCTGAAGGAGGAATGGGAGTGGGCCAGCGGAAGAGTTGGGGACACACTGTCTTCAAATGTCCAGTAAGAAAACATGTGAGTTCCAGGACTATGTGAGGCTTCATAGGACCTGACTTGGAGAGGGCGAGCGTGGGGCAGGGCGTGGCAGCGGTGCCGGGAGAGACAGCCTGGGCTCCAGTGCGCCGGACCTTGGTGGGGACGGTGGGCTCCGTCTGAAAGCACTGCGAGCTATGTTGGTTTCTAGCAGGGAAATGGCATGGCCAGATACATCAGAGACAAAGAGGATGGGTGGGAGGAACCAACGGCTGGAAAGACCAATCTGTACATTTTTAATGGTAAATTAAAACAAAACTTTCTCAGAGTGAAACTCTGAGCAAGTAACTCTGGAGCAAGCTGTCTTCCTTATCCATCTCTGAGAAAATGAGGACACGGTTTGGCCAATTGAATAGAAGTGTTTTTGTATAGTTAGCTTAAATAACCAAACGATGAAATCAATCCTCCAAATTGTCAGCAGAGCAGCTGTTCAGAAGGCTCTTGTTAGTCATTGACCTTATGTTTAATATGATTTCCTCGAACGTGGCTAGTCAGATTGAATAAAATGCTGCTTCAAAGCCCTCCCCATCGCGGTGAGCTCCTTGCTCTGAAAGAACAAAGAAAAAGTGTGGCAGGCAGAGTGCAAAAGGCCTCTCCTTCCTGCCCCCCACACCCGGACAGCGAGGGAAAGGAAGAAAGCATGCCACAGGCACGGCTTAGAGAACAAAGTGCTGGGACTGCTAACGACTCAGGCTCTTTCCTAATCACAGTGGAGGGGTAAAAGCCAAAAACAAACAAACAAACAAACAAAAAACCGTTTATGACCTAAAAATTCTCCTGGTTTTCAAGAACAACTAAGGCCTCTTATCCAACCTATTTCCTTTCTGGAAAGTAGTTTCAAACATGGCCTTTTATATGACCTGGATTTATTGCTTATGTCACTGGAGGAAGGACAGGATATGATGAAGGATTAGGTGAGAGAGATGGAGGGTTGGGAGAAATAGAGGGGAGATGTGGAAACTTATTCTTAGAATAAAGATCCAGTGTCTGTAGTGCTGAAAAGTTTTACGTTGAAAGTAGAATGCCACATATACGATGAAAAAGAATGCTCTATCTCTATCATCTATCTATCTATCTGTCATCTACCTACCTGTCATCTCTCTCTTCCTACTTATTTATCATATGTATCCTGCCTACATAGTACTTGCCTCTTAGTGTGAAAAGCGCACATCTAGGAGAGTTAAAATAAAAATAAAGGAGTTCACCCATCATGTAGTGAAGGGGGGGGAGTTGAGATAATTGTACCAACAGCCTGGAAAGAATAGTTCTGGCAATTGAATATTTAATTCAGCTTAAGCCTCTGGCAGCCAAGGCAAAATAAACCACCTCTGTGAGACTTATAAGTTGTTAATGTTGATGAAAAGAAGTGGACTATTGTATCAAAATGAGAAACATCCTCTGGTACAAAATCCTAAAATCTTATTCTTTTATATAAGAAAATCTGTAGCAAAATGTGCAATGTCTTATACAGCAGTTTTACACAAGATGCAGAAATATTCTTCTTTTGAGCTTTGTTATTCAAGTGTTGAATATAAAAGCAGCAACCTTTAATAAAAAGGAACTGAAGACCATAACCCGCTTCATCCATTAGGATTCTGAATAAGACAATTTTTAAGACACTGCCGAAATAAAATAAAATAATAAAAACAACACCTCTGAACTTTTATAGTTCTATGGCTCATCAAGTTAGGATTTTATATTTAGCAGTCTTAGGTTATGGCTTACACTGTCACTTCTGAGTTAGGATTCTTTCAGTTGTAAAAAGAAAGAGAGAGAGAAATTTCAACCAAAAGTGCCTTAAGCAAATGAGAAAACCTATTGGCTCATGCAACTGAAAAATCCATCAATATCAGCTCCAGTCTGACCCAGAAGTTCACAGCTTCGCCAAGGCCCTGTCTCCTTGGCTGATTTCCTCGGCCTCCTTCCCCTTGGCTCTGTTATCTTTTTCCTCCAGTTAGCGTTTCTTACAACAGCGAGTACTCCTATTGCAGTTCCAGGGTTTCTCACATTTCAAAATTCTGTGCTTTCAAATTCAGAGGAAAAAAATTAAATTCTTCTCCAAATATTAAAGTGAAGTTTAAACAACATTGGTTAAGAAACTAAGGCCAAAATATATTGTTGAGTAAATTAAGCCAGATACAAAAGAACAGATACTTTCATATGAAATTCTAGAACAGGGAAAATTACTCTACCATGATAGACATCAGAACAAGGGTGACTTTAGGAGAGGGGAACTGACTGTACAGGGCACAAAGAAACTTTCTGGAGTGAGAAAAATGTTCTATATTTTGTTTTGGGTGGTGGTTCTACCAGCACATTCATTTGTCAAAACTCACTGCACTATCCACTTATGATATATGCACTTCACATGCTTAGCAAAGAAAGCCCAAGTACTAAAAGAACATGCTGGCTGATGAAAGAAGTGACTGAAGTGGGCTACATTGGAAGCAAGGAGACAGGAGTCTACCACAGTGGGCTTAGACCAGGCTGAGAAATAGGGGTCAAATTCCAGATATATTTCAACATTGGGCCCAACAAGATTAGCTGATTGATTGACTATGAATTGTAAGCTAAAGAAGGGAATAAAGGCTGACTCTTGTGTTTTGGTTCTATATATCTGGGTGAGTGGTGATACCATTTACTAAAATGGGGCAGAAGTGGTAAAGAAGGAGGTTTAGGTGAGAGGGCATAGTCAAGGTAATCGAGACTTTGCTTTTGAACTTGAAATGTCTGTCCGATATAAACATGGAACTGTCAAGTAGGCAAGTGGATGTACAAGGGTGGAGTTTAGGAACAGGTCAGGGACATATATTTACAGTTATGGGACTGGCGAAGATCTCCTGAGGAGTGAGGATAGATAAGGAAGAGAAGAGGACAGAGCCTGGAAAGGCTGCAGGCATGTTTCCAGAGGGGCTAAGATTTTGTAGGAATGAGGAGGATCTGGGAGCAGCAGTGAGGAGAAAGAGGGTCCCGTCCCTGCTCCAGACCGTGTACTGTGTGGCACATGGGGAAGAAATGGCCTTCCTAAGAGGACACAGGGGCTAAGTGTGACCAGGAACTTAGCCAAGTTTGTCATTGGCAAAATCCTCTATATCCTAAAACTCTTTATAAAGAGTTCTTTGATCTTCTTGCTCTAGCAAAAACTTAGCTGTCCTCAGAACATAAAAGCAGCATTCAGTTAGAACAAGATAATTAAGAGAATGTCCAAAGAAACTGAGGAAAGAGAAGATTTCGCTGATGACAGACTGTGCATCTCAAAGAGCTCTGTGGAAAGGTCAGAGGAATTGGGAAAAGGTGGGTGATTGGCTCAAATTCTGGGATGTACAGTGCGGTATGAAGTTAGAGACTGGGTAATGAGGGATGACCTAGGAGACTTCGATGTCTGGTGGTAGAAGCATGTTGAGACCAGCCTCGATGGTCTGTTACAGGCACATGTGTAATTTAGTCCTAGTTGGGGCTTCCTACCTCAGCAGTTTGTGATGATGAGGCAAGTAATGTGACCTCAAAGAATGGTGGTCTTCCCAGGACCAGAGTTCTGTGGGCCACCCTTAAGTTCCGCAGGACAGGCAATCATGCAAGGAACCTGGGCTGACTTCCGGCATATCCCTGAACCAGTCACTGTGGCCAGGGGAATGGGGTTACAGAGACTGTGGATGCCTGAAGTTCAGGAAGGGATGTGGGTTTGTGTTTCTGTGTATATGTGTGTTGGAGCACTGAGGCTAAGGGAAGAGGTTACTGAGAGTTGCCAAGAGACAAGAGAGGATGGTTACTGAATGGCCAAACTCAGCTCATGTTTGTTAGAGGCCCTCATCCAGCAACTAGCAAACATAATACAGACAGCAGAGTAAACTTGAGTGGATGGATCTATATGAATATGCCCCCACTCTAGAAAAATAACAGGAAACATTATCTTTAGTGTTGAAAAAAATCACACAATTTGTCTGGCAATATCATATTCCAATTTGATCAAAGATGAGATTGTTTTGTATGTTTAAGCACTTATCCATGGCAAAGCCTAGAACATTTAGTAGTGTGTTATCTCAATTTTGCTAGTAATTGTCCTCAAATATTATTGCCCATAATACAAGGGCCAATTTGTAAGATGCTTTTTTTTCCCCCCACAGGAAGAAATGAAAAGATTGCAGAATCCTTTAGAACAAGTTAATGATGGAAAATATTTACTTGAAAAGTAAGTAAAAAATATTAAATTAGATTGTTACTTGTGAGGTTGGAAAGTTTGCATGGAAAAAGAAAGGAAGGAAGAAAGGGAGGGAGGGAGGGAGGGGGGAGAGAGAGAGAGAGAAAGAAAGAAAGAAAGAAAGAAAGAAAGAAAGAAAGAAAGAAAGAAAGAAAGAAAGAAAGAAAGAAAGAAAAAGGAACTACCTGGCAAAGCAAAAATGAAAAAGTAATTTGACACTTTTTTCTGTTGTTATGGTGGTCAGGACCCAGATATGTGTCTCATTTGAGATATAGTTAGATAGATTTATGATTATTGAGCTCTGATATACAAGCTCTACTGATTAACAGAGTGATATGATACCTGCAGATATCACTGCTGGTATGTTTGAGGGCTAGAAACTTAGCCCTGCTCTGTCTTTGGCTTTTAATCTGGGATGTGTACAGAAGGCAATCACAAGTATGCGAAAAAGCAGAATGGTTACACAAAAACTAATAGAATGGACATTCAAAATAATACTGCAGAATGGAAAAAAACTGAGCTAAAGAAAAGGCATGAAAGAAAGAGATGAAATTGAACAGAGATAAAAGTAAAGCCTTCCATTTAGGTTTTTAAAAAATTGTATAATCAGAACATGGGAGAGAAATATTCTGATTTCAAATTGTGGGTGTTTAGAGGTTTCTTCTGATGTTAACATAAGACCATGATTTTATATGGCTTCTAAAAATATTACCACAATATTTTTAGAAGATTTTATTTATTTATTTTTAGAGAGAGGGGAAGGGAAGGAGAAAGAAAGGGAGAGAAACATCAATGTGCGGTTGCCTCATGTGTGGCCCCTACTGGGAACTGGGTCCATAACCTAGGCATGTGCCCTGACTGGGAATAGAACTGGGGACCCTTTGGTTTGCAGGCCGACACTCAATCCACTGAGCCACTCCAACCAGGGCTATTATCACAATATTAAAATGATTAGTAGTCATGCATTGTCAAGATAAAGGAAGAAAAAACTAACTATCATTTATTGAGTATTTACAATGTACTCTGTCAGAGTGAAGGCTCACATGTGTTTCCTCATGGAACTCTGACCACAGCCTTCTGATACAACATTATTATTTCCATTTTATAGATGAAGAAAGATGCTCAGAGAGCTCCCAGCTCTTGTGTAAGGAAGCTCAGCTAGGAGCGGTGAGGAACGATGAGAGTCTAAGTCAGGTCTGAATGCCCCCAGAGTCCCTGCTTTCGACCACCCATGAAGTCCAAGGGTCAAGCCCACGTGGGTGTCGCGGTTGGCTCTGGGCACCACATTATAAAGGCACGTTGACATCCCCAAGAGCACCAGAGGTGGTCAATTAAAATTGTGAGGATTCTGAAATCATGTGAAACTACTCCAAAGAGCTGAGGATGTGTAGCTTTGAGAAAAGAAACCTCAGAGAGGACATAATGACTATCCTAAAGCATTTGAAGGAGTTTTTCTTTTAAAAGAAGGGCTAAATTGCTCTTCCTGCCCCAGAAAGCAGAATAAGGATCAACAAGCAGGTTTGCAACTCAGAAAAAGCATAGCTTTTGTAAAAATTCAGCCTGCCCAACAGAATGGCCTTCTTCGTTAGAGGGTGAGCTGATAGATACTGGAAGATACAAGAAGAATATAAATGACCGTTCATCCGAGATGCTGTTGAAAACATTCCTGAAAATTGAAAACCTTGGGCTTGACTCCTCTTCCTGCTTTTCCCTAGCTTTGTGGGTCTGGAAACAATTACTTCACCACCCCAAGCTCCGCTTTCCCCATCTTTAAACATGAATAATAGCCCTAGCTTGATGGTCTTGTTGGGAACAATAAGTGAGACGCCCGTGACAAGAGGGCCTTCAATGCCGGCTCCTTCCCCGTCCACCTGCGTGGGAGTGTGGACTAGATGGCTTCTCAGCATCAGTCCGTCTTCACGATTCTAAGAATTCTCTACGTCACCACTCCAGGGATATCTTCCATCCTTTGATCAATCTAAGTTTCTGGGTTATCTGTGGGTTTAATTTATCCTTGTTATGTCTGTTCTCATTAATTTGTGTAAATAAGAATAAAATAGCTCAATCTTTCTATCCCCTCACATCACCACCATCCTTAGCTATACATAAATAATAACAACTGAAGAGTCTTCTGCTGAACTAGAAATAAGCTTTTTCCTCTGTGGAGATCAGTGTTGTAATGACATGAGAGCCATAGTTCTTCACCCTGGCTGCACTGAGAATCGCCCAGGGAGTTAAAGAAAAATGGTCTGGCCTAAGCCCCACCCCAGACAAAGGGAATCTGAATCTCTGGGGGTGAGGTCCTAGGATAAGTATTTCTTAAAAGCTTCCTTCATGTGATTCCAATAAGGAGCTGGGGTTGAGAACCAGTGGTCTACCTGCATTTTAGATTCTTTTTGGTCATTCAATAATCCTGTGCAGCTTAATTCTCTGAGGACAAACTCTCCCTGTGATGTTCAGCCCATTTATCTATTACATCTGGTTTGTTTGTTTTTCATGATCGATTTTAAAGTAAGAAGTGAACTCTAAAAGTTTTTGTCCTGCTAATGGACCACGATTGTATATTAGACCTCTCACTAACACCAGCATGTATCTTTCCCATCCCCCTGCCCTGCGGAAGATATGTGAAATTAATAGCATATACGTGGGCTTCTGCCTCTTCCCCTTTCCTTCCTTCTCATTACCTAGAGGACTGTGAAATCTAAAAGCTTCTGGAAATGGCTAGTTTGCTTTGAATGTTTATCCTTCCCAATCACGATTGAGGAATTCCAGGGCTGGGAATTCAAGTTCCCCTCACAGCACGCAGGCCTACGGGGTAAGTTTCCCTTTCACGCTTGTCCAGGGCAGAGAGGAAACAAACAATGGCTGCCTGCCCTGACATCTGTAATTATTCGCCTGGAATTCTGGACATTTTTCTGGTCTGCTTTAGGGCAGGGCTGTGTCCCTGAAAGCTGTCAAATTTGATTGAAAAATTGGTGTACTCTGAGTGAGCAGATTAAGCTTTCATTATAGCTGTAGCTGACTTGGGTGTGATGTAAATCATCGCAGCTACTTGAAATGACCATAAGTTCAGCGATAGTGGTGTCATAGCACTTGATCACTTATTCCCCCTTGGAACATTACATTTATTCTGAATGCTCAGCAGGGTTCTGTGGTAGGCGATGTGGAGGGCAGGGAAGCTGCAACTCCGTTCTGCTTGAGACCGTGTCTAGGGCCAAGTGAGTGCACTTGCGTGTACACACAACCACATGCACACACGCACTCACTGAAGTCAATAAATAGAGAAGAGCAATTGGTAAGACCATGAATTAGGGGACTGCTTCTGACTCAATTGTATTTGATAACCTTTTATTAACTTAATAAGAGCTTAGACTGACAGCTATTTTGTTGTTTGTTTGTTTGTAAATATTGGATCAGCCTGGGTCCTTGGCATGAAACGTGTAATCGCAAGCTGCATGTTCTCCCAACAAACACTCACATTATCCATAGGCAATTATTGATCCAATGCACTGAAGTTATCCAACTTAAGCCTACAGCTATGCATAGTTTATAGTTTGTTGAGGATGTATAAATTGTAATCCCAAATTAGCAAATTTGTTACTATTATTTAAAAAATTCTCTTTATGAAAGCTTGAGCTTTGCCTCTGGTGGCTGTATATCTACAGGTCTTACCATACTTCACCTATGTCTCTGTTGCTCAATTTGATAATTTGTTATTTAGGGGTTTAAGTTACATAAAACCTCAAATTGTCCTTGTTATACGGCTGCTATCCCTACAAGAATATAGAATTATAAAAATGAGAATTTACATGGCCACCAGCCCCTGATTAGTTCCCTTTAATAGCATCCATCACATTTATAATTACTTAATATATATCTTCTCTTAGACTGTAAACCCTTAAGAACAGGGACAATGTCCAGTTCTTTCACCATTGTATCCCCTATGCTTTATATCATTGCTGGAACATAGAACATATTCAATGTATCTGTAAGTGAGTGAATATAGGGGAAATTAATAATAGATCCTGAATACCCAGAGCAAACAAGAAATTTTTCCTTGCCCGTCAACTTCCCAGTGGGGTAATTACACAGCTATCTTGGGCTGATGGCACCACCTAGCGGCCATGTATGAATTTCCCTGATGTACTATGTTTTCCCTACCACTTGGTTATTGCTTTCCAAAGAGGAGGAGATAAGTGCATTCTCCTAATAATGCCCCCAGTACAATGTTTTTCTTTTCTTTTCTTTCCTATCACCATAACCATGGGCCTCATTATCTGGCCAACTTGAACATCCTCCTAAATGTTTTCCTTTATTCTCCTTGCTCATTCCTGGTGCAAACTATCCTTTAATATCCCATTCATCACATTGTCCTGCTTCAAATTCTTTATGCTTCCCAATAGCAATAATTTTTCATACTGTAGATCACAGTCCATTAATGGTTTGTTAAATAAATTTTATTGGTCACCACTGGCCTTTTAAAAATTCTGAAATATATATAATAAAAAATGTCAGAGAACAGTATAGGTAGCTGGGGAAAAAATGTTTCTTGAAAGTTTTGTTTCAGTTTTAAACACACACACACACACACACACACACACACACACACACACACACACAGAGCTTTACCACATGCCTGTGTACTAGATTGGGCTGTCAAATACTTATGAAAACCCAGGCAGTAGAATTAAGGTTAATAAGTCTGATGTTAAAATCATCCAAGCAGTGCTTAGTGGTAGTTAGGCTTAAGTTATAATGTGGTTTCTTCTGAGTTTAACATAATCTCTCTGGGCTTTAGATTTCTCAGCTGTACCTTGAGGAAACTAATACTCAATTGATAGAGGCTACTGTGAGAAGTAAATAAGATAATACATGTAAAATGTCTATGACAGTGTTTTGTACACATTATGTGGCTAATGACTGTTACTTTTCTGCCTACCCATGTCTGTCAAATAGCTCTCTTTATGATTTAAAAATAGCCTGAAGAAAACTAAAAATAGCTTCTGCTCCTTTTTTTTAATATCTCCCTTTTATAACCTTTCACATTTCAATTTACCTAATTCCTGTCCATTCTTCAAAACTGAGCCTAAGTGCCACCTTTTCCATGAAGCCTTTCTTGACCACTGCAGCACCCAGTGACGGACTTACAAGCTTGTCAGGGGCAGTGACTGTGCACCTATATTGCTCTGCCTTTCTCCAGGGCAGAGGTCCATCTTTGTTCACAGTGGGCGGGCGTTTTGGAAAAACTCACAAGATGAAAGGAGTAAAGATTCAGATGCAGTGACATTGCTGGGGATGAATGAGATCCTCTCTACAACTTACTAGTGGGCATTGCTGTGGGATTTATAACATTCTCCTTATACTTTTTATCCCCACTAAAGTGGTTCAGCATTCTGCTTTCCTCTTCACTTAAGAGAAATTATTTTCATGCCTTAGCTATTAAAGTTGAACTGCATGGTAGAAATAAAAAGAACAGAAAAAATTAAAGGCAAAACAATATTTTGTTTCTATTGTATGGTTATTTATACAATAGATAAATAATAAAGTAAGATACAATAGACAATTGGTGGAAAGTTCCACCAATAGGAACTTTCAGGCCTGTATTAATAATTAAAATAAAAAATTTGACTGTATATCTGCCCTTTAAAATAAACATAAATTGGAAATATTACTGCTATAAATATTAACTTTCTTGGTTGAGCTATATTAAGACATTATTTCTGTTTGCAGTCACCAGTTGGCCATGGATGTGGAGAATAATATTGAAAAATGTCACCTCAATCTACAGCCCTTGGAATCAAAGGTGAAAATGTAAGTTAATTTAAAGTTTACATCAAAGCACTAGTTTTTAAGTCCCCATTTTATTAACTTCTGAACAGTTTCTGGAGTTGTGTGGTAGAAGAATTGCACATTTATTTACTTCACATTTGTGTGTTACACATTATTTCCTCTCTGGTTTAAGCAGCACCAAAGCTGTTTTGGGCACACAGCACCATCTACGGATAGAGGAGGGAATTATTTGATTGTCATTCATTTCTAGGTTTTCCCCTTCCAGGCTGAATATTGTGCTTCAGCTTCCAGTAGCATTTTTCCACTGTCTTTCATCTTAGTGACTTGGTTAATTCCTTCTTGGAACAATGTGGTTATTTCTACTCTGGCCATTTCTTTATCACACACACATTTTCAACTCTCCTTCCATGACAGCTCCCACCTAAATATTTCAAAAAGTATGTTATGCCTTCTTACTTCCTATTCTTTTATTTTTCATTCTCTCTTCCTAAGGCCAAATGCTAGTCCCTTTTCCTCACTATATATGACTATTGCATTGAAATTGTGCTAAAAACTCCTCAATATTAACAAAAACAAAATGAATAAAATACAAGTGAGATGGGCATATTGTAAAACATACTTTGAATGACAAGCTTTAAAAACAATTTTTAGGTAGAGAAGGGGCCTATAATAATCACTGTAGAAGAAGTTTTAAACTTATCATGCCTGCCCTGCGACCCTTTCCCATTCTGACTTTCCTTCTGGGGTACACCTAAGAATTGCCACTGAGGGTGTATAAAATGCACACACACATGCACACTCAGCTCAATGCTCTGAGAAGCATGCATCTAAGAAATGAAGTAGGCCTGAGCTTGGCCAGGATCACTGATCATTTGTAAAAAGCCCAGAGGAATCTTTAGATAAGAAGCCACCGTGAAGAAGGGAGCCTTGAGGTGTGCAACTTTGAAGAACAAGAAGCCATTGCTGGGTTTAGGAATTGAGAAAGAAATGGTGCAGCTATATAATATCCTGCCAGATAAAAACAAATATTAATTCACACCACTATAAATTTACATCAATCTTGGTTGTCAGTAAAAAGCTTGCCTCTGAACAAGCACATAGGGCTACCTCTCAAGGTGAAGTTCAAACACAACTTCTGAACGAGTGGGGTCCCCCCAGGAAGCACTGTGTTATACTCACTAAATGAATAATGAATCAGGCTAACAAATCATTTTATGTAAGCAGTGAGTCATCCTCACTGCACAAGACGTTAGTTTCCACACCATAGGTTGCTTTATCCTTAGGAATTTTTCTCTTATAATAATATTCTCTGAAATGAAAACGTGCTGGAAAGGAAAGTTGGCTGTGTCAAAATTAGAGTGTTTCATTTGAGTGCTGAAATGGAGTTAGGAAACCTCCCTGTTGTTTCTTGGTTTTCATCATCTCTAATATGTAGAGGCAGATGGACAAGTGCCAGGAAGAGGAACGGGCAAAGGAAACATCCCTGAGCCTGAGATACCAGTCAGCTCAGAAAGGCTGGGATTTTATGTGTGGCTGGTTTGACAGAGGAGTCTCAGCTCAGCTTGGTGCAAACTGAATGGTTTTATCTCTTCTAATAACTCTGGACCCCATTTCCACTCTCTGGTGGGGGATGAGGGAGAGAAAACTAAATCTGCCCAATAATGGAATTTGAGTCCTATTGGAGAATTTAGTCCAGTTCAGTGACTCTCGTCTAATCTGGTTATTAAAGTCCTAACTGCTATGACAGGTTAAATATCTCCCCTCCACGCACATCAGACCTGTGCAGCCTGCTCCCCTCCTTCCCTCTCCTTTTTTTCCTCTCCCACCCACCCTCCTTTCTCCTCTCCTCTGTCTCTGTGTCACCTCTCTCACCCCTCATTTGCTTTCCTCTTCATTTAAGGGAAATCATTTTCATGCCTTAGATATGAATGTTGAGCTGAGTGGTAGAAATAAAGAGAACAGGAAAGGTAAAAGGCAAAACAGCATTTTATTTCTATGGTGTTTCTATGCTAAACACCACAGCTGCCCCAGTTTTCTCATTGATGGTGAGCGCTCACACTTTCAAACAGTTGTTTCCTTTCAAATGACACTAAGGAGCTATTTTATTGCTTACGGAAGGGCTGCTGGGTGTCCCCTGGGCACCCACCCATGGTATAGGCTGTGTCCCTTGCTCTGCTGGGGCTGCCATTCCCAGGATGACCTTGGCATCCTCCACAGGAAGAATCTTGACATACCCCTACCTATTCCCAGTTTCCAAGAGACGTTCTTTAAGCCTACAGAGCATTGGGTATGAAACACGGGATCTTGCCCCAGGTTCCTGAGTCAGACTTGACAGGCTTTTTCTTAGGGTCTTCTGATTTCTGTTGATTGGTGGGAACCAGCTAAACATTTACCTTTTCCTAGGGGGTAGAGAGGAATGAGATTACTATACCACAAAATCTGCTTTTCTGGAAACTCCTCTCCCATCCCTGATGAAGAGGAGCAAATAGTATTCAAATGAAGATTTTCTGGACAGTCCCGCCCCTGCAAGTCCTGAGATGGGAGGTACTTTGGCAGGTCAATCTTTGAACATAAAAGATAAAACAAGATGCCCTGGCTTGTGCGGCTCAGTGGACTGGGTTCTCTCCTATGAACCGAAAAGTCACTGGTTTGATTCCTGGTCGGGCCACATGCCTGGGTTGTGGGCCAGGTTCTCGTTGGGGACCTGCAGGAGGCAACAGGTTGGTGTTTCACATGTTGATGTTTCTCTTCCTCTCTTTCTCCCTCCCTTCCCCTCTCTCTAAGAACAAATAAATAAAATGTTTAAAAAATAAAGCAAGATGAGAATTGTTCGCAGGTATCAGCTGCCTTTCCTGTATACCTGCACTACTGAGAGTCCCGGGTGGGGGCTGGATGGGCCAGGAAAGCTCTCTGTTGTTTCCTCACACTCAGGACAACATGAAAAGCAAATAATTTGATTAAGAAAGAGTAAAGCTGTATCTGGCAGTGCAGAGTACCATTGGAAGGAAGCAGAGGACTGCGGGGAAAGAAAGTGTGTATGTTCGGGGCGGGGGTGTTGGAATTTAGATGAAATGTCAGGAAGGGCACATTGCCTGGTTCATGAACATTAAGAGGCAATTTTGAGTTTCAGACTTGGAGGATCAAAGAACTGCATCAAAAGGGCAGAAGCGATCAAAATTGCACAGCTATTAATAAAAAGTCATTTGGGGGAGGTAAAAGGCAGGTTTTCTGAAGATCAAGCAAAGGCAAGCGTCTCAAATCAGAAAATTTAGTTAAAGCAAAAGTAACACTGAAAGCACCACAATGAAGGCTCTCAGCGCAACCCCAAGGCTAAAGATGAATTTGTTCTGGGGAATCAAGGCTGGAGCGGGGGTCTGGGAATGACACACACATCCGAGAGCACAGGTTTCAGCACATGGGCCTGACCTCCAGGAAGGAAACAGACTCTCCAGATCCCCTCAAACCTCTGCCTTTCGTGTCAGGATCACACCTTGCACATGCAATAAGATCTAAAATGCAACTCCTGAGTATAAACCATCATTTAAAAGTTGTTCATTGACTATGTGCAAACCCTCTCCTTATGTTTTAACATATTTATTTTGTGATGGAATAACATAGAGGTCTATTGAATCCAAATCACCTTTTAAAAGTCTGCTCGTTACTGTGGTACATGTACACAATGGAATACTACACAGCAGTAAAAAAGAAGGAATTCTTACATTTTGCAACAACCTGGCTGGAACTGAGGACTGTTATACTAAGTGAAATAAGCCAGGCAGTGAAAGACAAGTACCATATGATCTTACTTAGAACTGAAATCTAAGGAACAAAGGAAACTAATGAGAAAAATAGACTCAGAGGCACAGAAACAAGGAACAGACTAAGAGCTACAAGAGGGGAGGGAGGAGGTTGGGACTGGTTGAAAGGAGGTGAAGGGATCAGACAAAGAACACACATGGGTCATCCATGGACATGGACAGCAGTGTGGGGACGGACTATGGGAAGGGGGTGGCTGGGGGGAGGGGAGGCAAGGGGGAAAATTGGGGCAACTGTAATAGTATGAACTAAAAAAATAAATAGAAGTCTGCTCATTAAATCGTTCAATTCCTCTCTTTTTAAAGTAATATGTTTGATGTAGTGATGAAACATCTAGATTCTAAAAAGGAGACACATACATATCCATGAGGAAGAAGTAAATTCTCCCCAAAATTTCAAAGATAATTCTCAATAATTTGTTTAAGAGTAATGCCTATCAACTTCAGTCAAAAGTTTAATTTAAAAGAGAGGTGGAGAACACAGACTTTGGAGTTAGAAGAACTTGAGTTCAAATCCCTGCTCTGCTCCTTACCCAGGGTGGGACCTGGGGAACACTGCTCACCCCCAGGGCCTCCCCTGTGAAGGGAGGCCGCTAACAACGTCTTAGAGGATTGTCGTGACCTTTCAGTGACAGAATCCAAGAAAGGCATTTAGCCCAGTGCCTCTTTTCCATGCAATTGCACCCTTCCCAAACATATTTTAACATCATTTTGGGCTAATAAGGTAATGCCAGTAAAGATCCCCAGAAATTCAGCATAGCCTATCAATATATATGATTTGTTCGTGTTACTTAAAAATATTTGAAAGTCTTTGATATTCTTAAGTATTTATAATGATTTACCCGGGAGTTCCATTTGTCAAGTTTGGGGCTAGATAACTTAGATACCTTATCCTTGACTCCTGGAAAGAATTACAAAAAAGTTATTGTCATTCCCATTTTGTGGATAAGGAAAATGTAATCCAGTAAGTACAGTGTTTTGCCCAAGGCCACAGCTAATAAGATATAAACCTGAGCAAGAACCTACATCACTCTAAACACACTTAGTTTCTGGGGGCAAAATCATGGGCCCACCTCCACCAGGGGACACAACAGAATCTTCAGCTGCACAGGCAACTATTTCCTTTAAAAACAAAACCCTGAAAACTGGAGGAGCAACACCTTCATGTTGATCTAACAAGATGGAAACCGCGTAGAAGCAGGTAGGAGAAGCCGTGAACCCCACCACAGTGCAATGATTCACAATGGGAGGAAACTCAAAACCCAGAGCTGTGCCCTGAGGAACAAAATGTTCATCCCCCACATTGGGCACCCCAACTTTTAAGACCAGCACCAGAGAGACCAACCCCAAAACATTGGGCTTTGAAGACCGAGTGGGCTCGTGCCCAGGAGACCCTTGGGGCTGTGGCGAACTGAGAGCACCTCTGAAAAGGCTCGGGCGCACACTCACCTGCCTCCTGGCCCAGCGCAGAGGCAGCCCTTTGAAAAACACCCAGACTTCAGGTGAAAGAGACTCGTTTGCTAGTTTTTGGGTCTGAGGGGCAGGGGCCTACTACGATACTTTCCAGGGATGGAGGCTCTTCGAATGGTTAATATCTCCCACAGCAACTATTCTCTTTCATAGACTCTGTAGCCACTATGCTCCTGCACCTTATTTCTGAAGTGCCTTCTCAGCTTTCATAAAGAAAAGAGTATTGTAGAGCCTAGACTCAAGTTGCTTAAATTTCCATCTGTGAGGGACTTGGTGGGGGGCAGGGGAGTGTAGGTGACAGTCATTGTGGTTATAAATGTTGGTGAAGAAACCTGCAGAAAGATCCAGAAGAGCATAAGTCTATGATGCTTAGTAAGTAGCAATAATCAAAGTACGGAGTTGAGGTCAGGAATTACAAACTGAGCAGAAACTGGAGTGGAGAGGACTCAAACCAGAGACATGAGAACAGCATGGAAAACCTGCCGATGGCATGCAGTGACCCTTTACTGGCCTTTGAGCAAACTTGTATCAGGATACAGGGTTGGGGCAGATGCCAGGGAATGGACATGTGCCATGTCTATCTGTTAGGGTAACTTTTAGTTGCCTGTAGAAAATTTAACTAACAGAGGTTTAAACAAATAGGGGTTCTGCTTGTCCACCAGATGTCAGCATGTGACAGCCACGTCCTCCGTCTTGCTCCCTGCTTGATTTCTGTCTCGCGGAACCATGAGGAGGGAGCACGGTGCAGTGGGGAGAGAGGGGGTCTGGTCCAAGTGTTTGATCTCTCCGTTAGTTCTCGTCTTCTTCCCTGAAACTTGGCCAGGACTCTTGGTTGCAAGTAACAGAAACTCAATTCAGACTAATGTGTGTAAAGAGAGATTGTATTGGGACACCTAACAGAAACACCCAGGGCCTAATATGCTTCAAGCCCAGCTAGACTCAGCAGGTCAAACAAGGTGATCAGACTTTCCTGTCATGCTGCTTCTATAAGCTCCTCTCTTCACATTATTGCTTCATTCTGACAAGGGCTCTCCCAACACTGTGGCCATGGGCAGCTCTAGGCTCTTATCCCACCAGCTGAAAATCTCCAGGAGAAAAGGGGGGCTTTTTTCCTCAGTTGTCTTGCATCAGCCTGACTTGAGCCACGTCATTGCCCTCTGGTTTGTCAGCCCCAAACACAGGCTGCTCTCTACAGTGGAGGGTTAAAATCTGTTCCACGCCAAACTCATAGATTGAGGTTTGGTGGGTCCCCAGGGGAAAAAGAAGGAGAAATTAATTTTGGGTGGGCAAAACCTAACACTACGATATAATTGCACCTTCACAGCTCACCTGTGGTAAGTAAGGATTGAGTTGGAGAATACACACAAAAATAACTACGTGTAATTAGCTATTGTCTCCTGAGACATTCAGACTTGTGACCTTTTTGATAGCATCCTCTTTTCCCCATCCTCAAATTCAGCCCACTTGGATAATAAATGTATATAGAAATTTTAAAAATTATTTAGTAACATTTAAGAACTTGTAACTTTCATGTAAGTATCCAGATTGCTGACTGTTCTTGAAAATATGAAATTTCTGACAACAGTCAGCTGTGCTGTTACAGGGTTCTTCCCTACAAGTAGGTACTGCCAGTCTGCCTTCAGCCTGGCCTCAGGGGACATCTGGGGTCCTCTTTTTGTCTTTAATATTGATTGTCACATTCTCTTATAAATTAAAAAGAAGAAAATATTCATCCACTTGGAAGACAGGAATATTGAATTCTTAATCTCTGCCTTAAGGAAAACTGATACATCACTTTCCAAATTCCATAGAACTCGAAGAGGGAACAGGGATGCTTAAGTGCAGATTCGCCTTTGTAGACCTCCGTGTTGACCGGCATTGTTTGGTTCCTTAAAGGTGTCACATCGCCCTCTGCTGTTCAACAAGCTAAAATGTAGTGTGTGAAGTCCGTGTTTTCTGAATAATCAAGGAGAGGGGGAGAGAGAGAGCGTGAGAGAGAAAGAGAGGTATTTCTATTTAAAAAAATCACTTTAATCATGGATACAGAGAACAGACTGATAGCTGTCAGATGGGAGGGGGCTGGGGGCTGGGTGAGAAGGGTGAAGGATTGAGCAAAATAAAAAAAAAAAGAAAGACTCACGGACCCACACTGTAACAGCACAGTGATTGCCGAAGGGAAGGGGAGGTGGGGCGAGGTAGAAGAAGGAAAAGGGGGTGTAAGTGGTGATGGAAGGAGATTGACTTGGGGTGGTAAACACACAATGCAAATATAGATGTAAAATTGTATACTTGAAACCTGTATAATTTTATTAACCAATGTTACTCCAATAAATTCAATTAAAAAAGAAAAAATAATAATAAAAGTAAAAATCACTTTAAAAATGTCACAGATTTTTAAGCCCTCAATGGGCGGTTTTACAGGCGTTAGGTGCCCTCAAGTGGCGGAACTTGCCAGCAGGGCCCTGGGTGACACTCACGCTTCAGGCACATCAGAGACCATGGAAATCGCTGACACGGCTGAAACTTCAACACTCCTTGGAAAATGGGTCCCAGAGGAAGCAACGAGAGTCAGGCACGTCATCTTACTTACAGGACCTTATTAGAGCTTGTGTTTAAAATCTTTAAACCAAAGAAAAATAAATAAGGATGCATTTTAAGCAAGCACTGCGTAATAAGACAGTGACCACATATAACCCAAAGCAGGGTCAGATCCTGCTTTAATGGGGCCTCAAGTGTATATATAACTTGGAGGGTCCTTAAGAAAACCCCTAAAGCATATCTACTTCTGCAATTTTATACAAACCATGAGGAGTCCCTTCCTTGCAGAGTGGCAGAAGTTTCCGGCCTCTACGTCAGGGCCACTGAGGCTTGAGTATCATAGTTTCAGAGAAATTGGCCTCTCATCCCTAATTGGCCTACAGTTTCACTGCAGCTTCCAGACTTTTCCTTGTGCATTATAATTCACAGAGCCTTAATAAATTGGGGAACATGAACAAACTCAATAATGTGGTAGCATTTTTTATGTTCTTTTTATCCTCTGTTGCAAACTGATGGTCCTTGAACCATTCCAGCCAAATGAAAATAAATCAATTTGTTTCTACAAAAACAATTTTAATGACTTTAGTTGTGCGTGGAAGAATTACAGAAGATCAGATTTTTTTCAGGAACCTGAGGATAGTGAAAGAATTAGTGCACTTATTTTAAAAGGCTGAATCCTGACGATCGGTCTTCATGTTTGGCTCACTCCCAGGAGAGGATAGATTGTGTTCACTGATCACCTGTGAAAACCTAGATGTTAATCTCAAAGATTACAAGCCAAGTCCAAGGAGAAAAAAATCACTTCTTTTCCACAAAGAAGAGGTTTCTATTCTCCAAAGCAGAAGATGACATTTTTCTTGGATACTAATCATAGCAAATAAAAAGCTTCCGTAGTGAAATCTCAAGCAGCCACCTAATCACGTGTCACTTTAATTTTCTGAGTAGCGCATAACACTCTCAGACAGTTTTTCGTCTCCATTTCTTCATTTATCAGACACTACCTGTTTCTTTTCACAGTATATAAAATCCATGACCACACGGCTCATGCCTGTGAGGCCCAGAGCAGGGCCACTGCCTTTGGCCGTGCAGACTACACTGTATAACATCGCATGATGCCCTTCACCTTGAGTCTGTGCGGATGTCACCCCCTAGCACTTCTCTGCAATCTGTCCGGAACGTAGGGCTGACCCTGACACGCAGACTTCAGCAATGCTGTATTGAGTGAATGAGTAAGTGATATGTCAGTCTATTTATTATTCTCATTTGAAAGAGAGGATGAGAAATGGAAAGATTTTGTGTTCCATAAATCAAAGTACATTTACATGTGCAAAGTATTCTCCCTTTGACTGATGACTTTTTCTGACTAAGCTGGCACTTGCGGACTGATTTAGCTTAGTCAAGTCTGTGAAAGTCAAACCAGTAAAGGAGACAGTCCAGGTCTTCTGATTTGCAGTGTCATGTTCTTTGTGTTACAGTCTCCCTGTCCCCAAAGCCAATTCCTTCAGACTCCTTGTGCTTTTCTGAGGCTGTGGGCTGTGACCTGGGAGTGACTGTGTGTGCTGGGGTCCTATTTTTAGCATTCAGCGAGCCTGGCGCGAATACCTGCAGCGGCAGGACCCCCAGGAGAAGAGGTGCCTGTCCCCGCCCTCCGTGTCCTCGGACAAGCTGAGCAGCTCTGCCAGCATGAACACCTTCTCGGACAGCAGCACACCGGTGAGTGCCGTTTTCTTTTCCATGGTCTGGCTGGCCCATTGCCTGATGGCGAGGGCTCCGGCTTCATGAGAGCAATCTTGGGATGTAGCAGGTGGCTCGTGATTGGAGGATCTACGTTGCTTATTTGCTGTGTGTGAACCCATGGTGAGGGTTTGTTATCTCCAAACGAAGATATGATTCATAGTACAAAGTGAACTTTATCAAGTCTGAGGGAATTGGTATATTTGACATCAACCTAAACCACCCATTTGTGTGTTTGCATTCCTCTGTTACCAAGACTATCTTTTTCCTTTTCTTTATAAGAGCCTGATTATTATAAACCTCTTATTCTGTGCCTCTGGTAGCATTTTGTGGTGCTAGTGTAACAGAGGATTAGCTTGGTTATAAAAATTATAAAGAGAACTTTTACAGAAAGTATTGCAAAGGGTTACAGACTTGGGGGTTGCAACTTCAATGCCTAAAGCGGCCTAGTACGTGATCCATGTGACTGACATGGGCCGTGTTGTGACTGAGGAACCTGAAACAGCTGCCCCCAGAGCTCCTGGACACATGTCGTTACGTGGTTATGCAGGACAGATGCTGTGAAAGGTCACTTTCTTTCTTCGGGCTACGCTAGAAATCCAGATTTTTAAATGTTAGCAACCAGCAAGAAAATTCAGAACAGCTCCATCATGTCTGCAGACCACATTCGTTCCAGGGGCCACCAGTTTAAGAACTGTGGATACAGAGCTAGGGAATGAAAGAATCTGCTGAGTGTCTTTATCTAAAAAAAAACAACAACAAAATGTGGTAGGAAATAAATGATCAGGCAATTGTAATGCAGAGTTTTGTGGATTTAGCCATTGCGATTATTTATGATAGTCGTTGGAGTAATGAAAGGAGTTAGGAAGAGAAATCATGCAACTATATGAGCATATTATTTTCAAAAAGCATCTTCCTTAACTACTTTGTAATCCTGTTTATCCATTTGTAAAAAGGCTTCCCAATAGCCAGAATAATGTATTCACATTGGGATCAAGCAGAGGTTACTCTGAAATGTTTTTAGATGATTGCATTGTATATCCTTTAATAAACGGTTTTATCTAGTCGTAGATTCTAGAAAGAGAGCAGTAAGTTGAGTTTATAGGTATGCAAATAACAGTGGCACAAGATCTATTTTTAGTCGACAGCGGAAATTGAATACTTAGTGCATCGGTAACTTTAAGACAATTTTTAGGAGAAATGAACTTAGTTGGCCTTACTGTATCACCAGAGGGCGTCCGTGAGCCACATTGGAAAATGGTTGAGTTTAGTAAAGTTTGTATTTAACTCATGATTTGCGAGTGAAAAATAATGTGAAATTGAGTGTTTGAATACCTTTCCTGTGAATGTCAATATAAGGTGAAAGCTAAAAGACTTTGAAAACTATTAGAATGATGAAAACAGTATTGGAAATTACTCTGCCTGTGAGTCAGAGGTTTGAATTTATTTTCTTTGCATTCCCACTTTGGCTAAGCCTGTCATAAAGAGATGTGCTTCCTCTAATAACCAGCAATTCCATTTGGAACGTTAGGGTTAAAAGTCTTTGGTCCAAGTCAAATGCTCTCAATGAGGTGTCTCCCTGGGGGATTCTCTGGCCCCCAGGACTCTGACTAGGTCCCCTCCAGTTTACTGAATCTCCGCCCTCTTTCTCTGGGCTTCATCTATTTTTGTTGGTGCCTAGACCATTGTGTGTCTCCTCGGATCAAATCCGTTGTCCTTCCTGTCTCAGGTCCCTGCCTTTCCTCTACTAACACAGCCTAATCTGGAGGCCAGTCTGCCCTTGCTTAACCCTGGGGCCTTGCCAGCTGCTCCTCCCACACCTGCACCTAATAGAGTTGCAATTACTACCCATCCTGGTTGTCTGCCCCAAGCATGCGCCACATGGGAAGCCAGCAACCTGATCTGGGTGTCTCCCTGTGCCGTGCGGAGAACGATGCGTTTGCATGCTTCTGCTCTGATTGCTTTGGCTATGCATGATAGTTAATATAGTTTTTAGAATATTGCTGCTTTACAGTATGTATCAACAGTAATGTTTCACTGTGAGCTCTCAAATCCATCATCTTGATAAGAGCTGCCAGGTACTTTGCCAATAATGCTTGCTGTGGATTATTTCATTTAATCCTCTCAAGGACCATATGAAGGAGGTACAATGATTATCTCTATTTATGAAAATGAGACTTAAAGATTTAACTGACTGGCTTTCGGTTACACAGTTGCCTGTAGCCTGCAAGCTGCACCGTTCTACCATACTGCGCCACTTGGTCAAGCGGTGGAAGAGGCAATCAGTTAATGAATTTCTAAGATTATTTTACAATTTAATGAGTATAAACAGTGAATTAAATAATTTTAAAAAGAATCCTCACTTGATTTTATAAATTGCCTAATTCAATGCTCTTTGATTAAAACCTCAACCTCAGCCGCTCAATGCCAAATTAAAGAGCAACAGGAGGGAAGATAATATTAAGTTATGTTAGCAATTTGCATATTAAGTACCCTTATACCATAATGTATCATGTAGTAACAGAAAAATTTGTTTTAGAAATAGCAATTGTGGATAGCAACTGTTACAGGGAAATGTAGCTTGTGAGTATCAAAGTGAGGAAAAAAGAGTAACTTTATTTTTTAACTGTAAAAATATTAGTTTTACATGGAGAGGAGCTGTGGAAAATCCTTTGTGTACTTTCAATTAATACTTAATTTCATATGACCAAATACTTATTCTTTTAGTTTCCAGCTCTGAGAAATCTGTAACATGTCTCATAGGATATCATAGAAAGAAAGTATAAAATGGTATATTCTCATCTAGATTGACAACCTTGTCCCAAATCATTTGCCTGCTCTCGCAGATTAATCCAGAAAAATCTTTCAGTGGTTTTGGAGACATTCTCAGGCCCTTGTGGCTTAGATTGGTTCCCTCTGCCTGGGCCTTTCTTCCTGGCCACGTCTGCTCTCTCCCACTGGTTCCCAGTCGTTTGGACGAGCCTGCAGGGAGCAGTGTGACTCATAGAATAAGGCCTTAGGCTACCTGGCTTACAGGAGCAGCTCGGCCACTATTTCTGTGAGTCTAAGACATAACTCCTGGGAGGTCACTCTTCACCTACAGACTGGAAATAACGCCCACCCCAGAGGCATACAGCTATCACTGTGAAGATTAAATGGCACTACACATGTGAAACATGGCACAGAACCTGTGACCCTGAAGCCTCTCCATAAGAGTTTGACCATCTGAGTCTGCTCTTGAGAACACTCCATGCATTCAAAGTGTGAGGAAAAGCTGTGAAGAACAGAGGTGGAATTTTTAACTTAATTCCCACTGAAGGGCATAGTACCTGTTTCTGATTCACCAAGTGAATCCATGAGACTCTAACTGTGTCCTAGAATATATATATTCATATGATGTATATTCAGAAGGTATGTGTATTCTGAGATTGGAGCTGTACATTACAAAAGTAATAAATTAAGCATTTATTTTAGTATTGCTCCTTTTAAAGACTAGTTTTCAAGATCCAAAGATAAAACCAGGTACAAGTCATTTTGCCATTAAATGAGTGGGTCTCTTTTGAGAGGCCACACCTACAGGCATAGGAAAGGCAATCCCGGATCATGCTCCTCCCTCCAGGCCTGAGGAAAAAGAAATGGGAGGGTCTCCAGCATGTTGGGGAGAATAGGGCCACGTGGCCTCCCCTCTCAGGCAAATCAGTGCAGAAAGTACCATTCTAGTAGCTGCACAACTGCAACCACAAGGCTTTACTCCTGGTCAAGAAGAATCTGTTCTTCAGGACTGTGAGTCCTGAGCAAGTTTAAGAGCAGTGGTTCGGGCCAGTTGTTCTGGAGAGAAGGCCGTGGAGCCTCCTATCTAGGGCGCTGCCTGAGTGGTCCTGGCTTTTAGCAAGAGTAGCCGGATAGTGAGCAAGGGGCATCCGGGTGACCCACCGAACCTTCCCAAGTATATGAGTACTGGCAGAAGCCAGGGCCGCCCCCGCCCACCCAACATGGTGTGCGCACCTACATTCAAACTGCTTCTTTACCTTCCAGTTTTATTTCCTTTTTGGAGAGTTACAACCTCGAGGCTTTAAACACATCAGGAAAAATCTAGTGACTAAAGGGAGAAAGTATTACAAAGCTATACTTGTCTTTTGGGAGGAAATCAGGCCCTACAAGGGATTCCTGGGACCTTTTTCAATACAATCTTGAAAGCTATAAAATTATTGAGAATGTAAGCCTTGTGCTACTTAATAATTTAATAACTTAGATTTTCCAGGTCAGAGACAAGTTATGGTATTATGCCCAGCTGTTGTTATAAATTTAGGTCACATTAATTCTAATGTTTTAGCACCCAACTCTCAGACACCCAAATAGCACAAATTCTTTGTTAGTCTGTCTTAAATTTTGGTTCAGAGAATATAATACAAATTTACATATAAAAAGAGAAGACTTCTTGGTATGTATACAGCAGTAAGATACATTTCTCTTTTCTTTAAACCTAGGTCTTATAGAGCAAATGTTTTCTTTTCAGAAGTTTTAGAAATAATATTACATAACATATAATCATATATGACAGTTTGAATGAATATGTTTATATAAAAATACTATCTTTATAACACAAACACTCTTCTTTTTATGTTTTTGAATATGGTTGATAGTATACATTCCTTTTCCTAAATCATCCTTTTAACTTCATGATTGGAGGACATTTTTCTTGATAGGTTTAAAAATGAACATGTTCTTTCAGTTATGGACTGCTAATGTTGAACATTTTCTGGGTTCAGAATGATATAGAAAATAGACAATTTGATGTTACATAACTGACTTATTCATCTATAGTAATATAATAAATTCTCCCTAACAGTCTTAAGGTTATCGACCTGTGAGTATAGATGCAAACCCCAAGCATTAAGTGCCTTGTTATGATAAAGCAAGCCGAGAAAGAACTTGTTCTCTTTGCACTTTACCTGAAGCCTAGTCTCAGCATTTTTCCTCACATGAGTGAGGAAATTCTGTCTCTCTTCTACCGCTTAGATGAACCTGTAATTCAGACCCAGAGTACA